TTAATAATAGCACTAAAGTAAGTAAGAATAGGTAAGAGGATCAGATATTGATATTAGAACATAAGTAAAATTGAAAGATTTTGAATAATAATTATTGAGATTATAAGAGGAAAATGAAAGATTAAGAAGATTAGCAATCTAGCAAACCTCAGATCCTCAAAAATAATAAGAATATTTATAAGCAATAGAAAAATTAAGAGAAGAGAATAGATTATTATAATTTACTTAAGCTAGATAATTTGAAGGGCTTGAGAAATTGATTAAAGATTAGAAAACAGTAGAGAGGACTGCTGCTCCTCCAGTTGTTTTGGCTGAGGCAAAACCTCAAAATACTGTTATAAAACCAATAGATTCTTATGCATATCCTGTACCCTCAGCCACTTTGAAACCTATAACTCGAACAGATGTCACTGCTTTAGTTGATGATCCTACATCTATGGATTAAGAAAATAGATTGATGGCACTTGAAATGTAGGATGAAAGAAAAGATCAGATAATAGTAATATAACCAGTTTCTATGAAATAAATTTTAGGACCATATCCTATTTGTAAATCAGTTTAAATAGGAATTATATTCTATGATTTATAGACTTTCAAATCACCATTCTTAAATTTGGAATATTATAATGATGAAAGAAATTTTAAGTATAATTTGGAGAATGGTAATCCTTTAAGGTTATTGTATAATAATGAGATTTTCAGTTGTAAGTTTAATATAGAAACATCTTTATAAAGATATGCAAATTTGGATTAGGATTTTGCAAGATATTTATTCAATAAAAACTTAATTTTGGATATTTGGGATAGTGAGAGTTTATTTCTCTTTGGTAGTGTTAGAATACCATTAAGAGGTATAATGAGAGGAGGTAAACAGAATGCATAAATAATGGCTGATGTTGAAATCTTTGATCCTCAATCGAAGAAGGCCAAAGGGACATTGTAGATTGTCATTAAAAATATTGGCAAAATTGGTTAACAAGACATGAGTAAAACGGTTCCTTTGGAAAATACTTATAATGGATTTCAGAAAAAGAAATTAGTATCAGAAAAGCCAGTGAATAGACTGGATGTTCCTGCATAAGCTTTTGATGGAAATAGTATTTAAGACAGAATAAAAAAGATCAAGCAATAAAATTTATAAGAGATGATTAAAAATAAATAGAGCCAATAAAGATCATTAAATGAAGTGTTGAAATATAAAGAAATCAAAAAGCCTACATTAGTAAGAACAATTATGCAAGGATTCTTATAGAATGAGAAAGTAGTTCATTCATTTTATGGTAAATGTGAAATAGTTCCACTTTATTTTAAAAATACTCATCCAAAGCCAGAATAATTCACTGTAAATATAGAGGATCCGGAAAGCAGAATGTTAGAATATTAAGAATTCTTTTTGATTGGCAATCCAGCTGAATGGAAATATTGGGTTAGTAATAACAAATATCCAGAACCTGAAAATTATGATTTAATTAGAATGAAAGAAAATTAAGGAAAAACTTAATATTATTTTATTTTAGATCCTAATTAAGAGGTTACTTTGTTGTTTAAATTTATAAGTTTTAGGTAATATGATTATAGGGTTGATGATCACGAGAGAACACCTGAATATATCAAAAAGTATATGTAATCTCGACACATAACAATATTATTATAACAGGATGGTAAGATGATGGATGGAATACGTATAATAGTTGAGCCTCATTAATAGCCAATCGATCATGTGCTGAGATTTTATGAAAGAGAGAATCGTTAAACCAGACTTATAATACCTAGATTATTCAACCAACCACTACAATAACAGCCTCATGTACATATCACTGATCCTGATGTGATGATTGAATGGTCATCTGATTTTAATTCTATACGATTGAATCTTAGGATAGGAGAACCATAGAGTGTCAAGATATTCAACATTCTTTTGTATTAAGATCAATATCAGCATAAAATAATAGCCAATTGGAAGATAGAAGTTTATAGTTTATCCACAATAGACATTGAAGTTCCATTAGGTTAAAGAGTATGTACTAAAATAACATTTCCTTGTGATATTACTCGTATTATCAAAATGACATCTTCCAATAAAATGATAACTTTTGTTAAACCTTTTGATTCTGAAATTACTATGTTACCAGGCAAAATAAATTTAGTTCCCATTAATATTTTAGCTCTATAGGATGGAAAACATCTAATTAAATTAAATGGAGTTGACATCCATTCTCAAGAACTAATTTATTCTTGGCTAGTGAATGTTCATGCCGAACCTTAACCACCAAGTGCTACTTATGATTTGAGGTATGTTTTCTATTAATCTTTTAGATGCATAGATGGAAGAGAATCTCGTCATTAAGTCAATTATAAAAATTAAGTTAATTACACTACTTAATATAATATTGTATCTTCAAGTGAATTTGTGAAAGTAATCATTTATTAGTATGTTTTAATAGATTATTGATCAAAGTATCTCTACAGGACCTAATGAAATTGTTCAGTTCAAAATCAGAGTCTTGCCAGGTAGTGAAGAAGTAGTACGCATCTTCATTACTGACATTGATGAAAGAATATTTGATGTCATTGTACTCAATATCAAATATGTTTATTGAAGTTTCTTTATATTAATATCCTCTTATTATTTTAATATAAATATAATGCTTCTAACTGAAAAAGAGCCTTTCTTTCCGGTGTTAGTGGAAAACCGAAATATATTTCGAAAATTTAAGAGAAGATACAATTCTACATAACCTATGGAACGGAGGATTGAGCAATCAGCAGATTCCTTTTATGAAAAATCTCTTTTCGTTCAGAAGAAAGAATTGCAACTCCGAACCCTCGAACCTAAAAAATAATATGTGGCCAAGCCACCAAAAACAATAATACTAAAAGAGAACATACCTGAGATACTTAGTTTTGACAAAATGTTACTTGCGTTTGTGTAGTTGAATAATCAAGATAAAAATTAGAAAAATATGTAAAAAAAGACTCTTAAAATAATTACATAACATCAAGAACTAGGTGTACTTGAGGAAGAACATAAATGTAAGAGATTCTGTAGAATGTAGCTCTCCAAAGTCGTTTCTTTACAGAAGTGTAGTCGTATCTCAATGAATGTTATAGATTCTGAATTTTTAATTTATTTATTATGCAAATGTTTGAACTCATCATTTGTTATCGTAAGCATCTAATTGCTGATCAAATTTATGAGATTAGATTCACTGATAATGCTCTAACACTAACAAATGTAAATGATCATCTAAGACCTCTATAGCCCAAGAGACCTGATTCTCCTAAGTACATCGTCCCTTTAAATTGGTCCTCCTAAATTTCATGGCAACTTACACCCAAAGAAAATGCTTTTGGCTTCTGGATATCACCCAAAAAATTTAAGTGGTTTCATGCTAAACAAAGTGACTTACTCATTTTAAAGAAGATTCTTTCCAAATTTGTTTCTTTCACTAAAGTATAAGACTTTTATGAAGCTACAGAACATTTGGCGAGTGGCAGCAACAGTCAAGTTTATTAAGTGGTGAGAAAGAGCGATAAAAATGATAATTTTGTCACGAAATGTATTACTAAAGAGGCAATTTAGAACTCGGTTGAAAAAATGGTACAGCAGAAGTGTTATTTAATTAGAATGGAATTTTTGATGAATTAAATATCCTCAAACAGTTAAATCATCCTAATCTCCCTCGATTTGAAGAGTTCTATGTTGGTGATGGCACCTATTATATAGTCTTAGAGTATTGCAGAGGGCAAAGTTTAAATTCATACATTAAAGAATTAAAACATTAATTAAATGTAAGAATTATTTAGAATATTCTTTGGGAATTACTCCAGGGTGTTGCCTATTTGCATTCTCTTAATATAATTCATCGTGACATAAAACCTGAGAATATTATATTAAATATTCTGGAAAAGAAAATAGATCTCAAAATAGTTGACTTTGGTCTCTCTGTAAAACTAGAGCCCAATAAAGAACTCAAGAAATGTGGAACACCAGGTTACGTGGCTCCTGAGATAATAAATCTAAAAAATGGAAGATATGGCTTAGAGAGCGACATTTTCTCAGTAGGATGTGTATTCTATAAGCTGTAAATTTTCTTATCATTTTTAAGGTTATTGAGAAAAGACTTATTTTATGGGGAAAATCAAAATGAGATCTTATCAGCTAATAGAAGATGTCAATGTAACATTTAAAATTTATCATTGATCCGTATCCCTATTACTGCTTAAAATCTACTATCGGAAATGCTGCAGGAAGATCCTAGATTAAGAATCAAAGCTGCTTCTGCCTTACAACATCACTTCTTTAGAGAAAATTTCAGAATCAGTACTCGGAACATTCCTCTTTTACTGTCTCAAGTGAGGGCTAGTTTTCACACTTAAACATCGAATACAAAACAACAACTTAGCGATGAGGATATTCATGTAGAGTATTTCAATAATGAATTACCTCCCATTAATCAAATTCCAGTGTTTTTAGAATATCATAAAAATGGACAAAAAATTACTTAAAATCAAGAAAATTTAAATTCTTAATCCACAGATTCAAAATTTATATTTCGACATGTCTCAAAATCCACAGGTTGAATTATCTATATTTTATTTTGGCTTTTTTTTTAATTAATTATATTTTTAAAATTATAAAACAATTAGCAAACCATAAAAAGAGTGTGGGAGAATTAGGTACCGAGTAGCCTGAATTGAATTGGATATCACCTATTGCACTTAATATGCTATGCCAAACCCCCTTCTCACTTTCACTCTAACGATCAGATTTTTCAATCCTCTTCTCTAAGTCAGAGTGAAATAGATTTCTGGAGGAAGTCTCATATTCTTTCGAATTAACGGCATCTCAGAACTTACTCAGGCATTGTGAATAATCGCTTGCGCAATTTCGTAATATGTGTGCCTTAAGGTGAACTGGTACCCAACTCCCTTACCAGTTTATAGAATTAAATATTTATATATTAGAAATTTATTTGATAATCATTTTATGGGTTATTTAATTCTTTCATTATTCTAATAAGACTCATCAATTGCTAATTCTACTTAAATTTTTGCTATTAATTTATAGTATATTCTCAAATATTATAACTCTCACCTACCAAACATTATAGACATATATTCATTCATTTAAGAAAAATGACATACATTATTTGTTAGGTAGATTCTTTTTTTAAATATTACTTAATTTTTTTGTAAAGGAATAAGAATTATTAGCCCACTCTCTTTAATTATGCGAACCAATATGATTGGATTCTTTAATCATCGAACATGTTACTGATTAATTATTAGGTAATGAGCTAACACTTTCTTATTCCCAAGTGATATTATTTCTATTTCTAAGTAAATTAAATCATAATGCCATTTAGGAATTGCTAAATATTTATTGAGTAATTTTATAATTACTCTGAAAATAATTATTATTGGATTAAATACTCTTATTTCAAAGAATTATTGAAATCAAGTGTTTTTTAATCAGCTTTAAGTGCATCTCTCTTAAAATGAAAATTGCCTTCATTTCAGAGTTAAATTTATCATCTTTAGAGAAGCTTTAATTGAATTCTTACTTTCCTAAAGATTATTTTATTCTTCCTTTGATTTTTATACTTTAATTTTATGATTCATTCACTTCTTCCTTCTTAACAATTTGATTGCTTATATATTAAGTAAATTCATTCAGGTATTCAGAAAATTCATTATGAGCATCAAATAATAAGTTTATAGAAACTATAGATCATTCATTTCTTAGTCGAATACTGTTCATTTATGGTTTTAATTTCTTTCTTACTATAATTATTATCATTAATTATTTATTCTTATTTTTGCTTTTTTTAAAGTAATCCTATCAATTGATATATAATACTTTTCTTATTTATTCATTATTCAACATCTATTTAGTATAATATTGAATCAAAGTGTGCTATTACCAATAATATGCAAAGGAAATAAAGATAATGAGGAATAATAGTTCTTTGATTTATCCCTTATTAAATATTTTATGTTATTAACTAGCGAAAATATTGAATTCTACACTTAAAGAAGAAAATAGTATACTTAAGATTTCCTTAAGTTGACGAATCAATTTAAACCTAAACTAGAGCAATTACAAAGGCGTTTAATAGCATAAAAGCAGATTGTCGATGGTCCAATTAAAATTTTGAATACAACATAAAAAGGGAAAAAGTTCAGTAGAGTTTTATTGTCTCTTTCTAAGTCCAAAGAAGTTTAAAATAAAATTGATTAAGAAATGAACAGGTGCTCTTATTAATATGAACTTGACGAGGCCTTAAATTGTAAGTATTAATAACTTTATTATAAAGATTCAATTATTCTTAAACATGTAAAAAGATTTAATAGTCTATGATTCCTTTGATTGAAAATATTAAACTTCAAATCAAAGAAAAGAACCAGGAATTATCAATCAATGATCAGAATTCAAATTAATATATGCAGGTATTAATCAATTTTACATAAGAGAGAAGAATTGGAAAAAATAAAAATGAAATCAAATCGTTACTCAAAAATTATTGAAAAGNTTTTTGTAAAGGAATAAGAATTATTAGCCCACTCTCTTTAATTATGCGAACCAATATGATTGGATTCTTTAATCATCGAACATGTTACTGATTAATTATTAGGTAATGAGCTAACACTTTCTTATTCCCAAGTGATATTATTTCTATTTCTAAGTAAATTAAATCATAATGCCATTTAGGAATTGCTAAATATTTATTGAGTAATTTTATAATTACTCTGAAAATAATTATTATTGGATTAAATACTCTTATTTCAAAGAATTATTGAAATCAAGTGTTTTTTAATCAGCTTTAAGTGCATCTCTCTTAAAATGAAAATTGCCTTCATTTCAGAGTTAAATTTATCATCTTTAGAGAAGCTTTAATTGAATTCTTACTTTCCTAAAGATTATTTTATTCTTCCTTTGATTTTTATACTTTAATTTTATGATTCATTCACTTCTTCCTTCTTAACAATTTGATTGCTTATATATTAAGTAAATTCATTCAGGTATTCAGAAAATTCATTATGAGCATCAAATAATAAGTTTATAGAAACTATAGATCATTCATTTCTTAGTCGAATACTGTTCATTTATGGTTTTAATTTCTTTCTTACTATAATTATTATCATTAATTATTTATTCTTATTTTTGCTTTTTTTAAAGTAATCCTATCAATTGATATATAATACTTTTCTTATTTATTCATTATTCAACATCTATTTAGTATAATATTGAATCAAAGTGTGCTATTACCAATAATATGCAAAGGAAATAAAGATAATGAGGAATAATAGTTCTTTGATTTATCCCTTATTAAATATTTTATGTTATTAACTAGCGAAAATATTGAATTCTACACTTAAAGAAGAAAATAGTATACTTAAGATTTCCTTAAGTTGACGAATCAATTTAAACCTAAACTAGAGCAATTACAAAGGCGTTTAATAGCATAAAAGCAGATTGTCGATGGTCCAATTAAAATTTTGAATACAACATAAAAAGGGAAAAAGTTCAGTAGAGTTTTATTGTCTCTTTCTAAGTCCAAAGAAGTTTAAAATAAAATTGATTAAGAAATGAACAGGTGCTCTTATTAATATGAACTTGACGAGGCCTTAAATTGTAAGTATTAATAACTTTATTATAAAGATTCAATTATTCTTAAACATGTAAAAAGATTTAATAGTCTATGATTCCTTTGATTGAAAATATTAAACTTCAAATCAAAGAAAAGAACCAGGAATTATCAATCAATGATCAGAATTCAAATTAATATATGCAGGTATTAATCAATTTTACATAAGAGAGAAGAATTGGAAAAAATAAAAATGAAATCAAATCGTTACTCAAAAATTATTGAAAAGCTTTAAACAATGGAGACTAAGAATTAATAATAGGATATTAATTAAAAATAGAGTTTCAAAAATTTAGATAAGTTTGATAAAATTGATGAAAATGAAGAGATTCTGGGATATTCTGAAAAGCCAATTACATCAAGAAGAACTCTATGCTCATCAGTATAAAATGATGAAGATAAAAAAATCTAATAAAATCAAAGCAGTTCTTAAAATAGGAAAGACTCTTAAAACAATCCAAAATTTCAGGATCTTGATCAAATAATTAGAAAACATTATAAGAAAATGGGTTTATTGAATAGAAGATAAGAAAGTATGATGGAATTTAAAAATTTTATAACTAATTAAAGATCAACAACTCAATAGGACATAAACCTATAAAGTGATTTGAGACTTTAGTATTCTTAAAACAGGTTTAAATCAAATAAAAGATTTTCTGTTACAATTCTCTCTACATAAATAAACTCTTCGAATATAACGTAAGATTTAATAATTATTTAAGTCCAATTTTTGATGAACAAGTAGGCATAGCTACTTGTAATGCTGCAAAAACAAAAACAAATAGTAGTCTCGATCCAAAAGCATTTTAAACATTTAAAAAGAGTTCCAATAAATATTAAGATTCTTAAGAAAGAGTTTAAAAAAATAAAATTTTCCAAAACAAAGCAGATGCTTGAATAAAATGTTGATATATATTGAAAATAAATATAAATGATTAAAGATGTTTTTAATTTATTACTTTTCTAATATTACAATTTGTTATTATATATATTATTTCTATAATTTATATGAAGTTTCTAATAAAAAGTAATAAATTATTTGATATGAACAAAGACAATTCCATTATATGTTGATATTCTAAATCATATCCATTAAGTTAAATCTATTATATATATATAATTTATTTAATTATAATGGATAAATTGGATAAACACAAGAATTGTGGAAAGTGTATTGAATAGTTTGAAATAAATAAGTAAAAGCAGGATGGAACATATAAAGAACTTAAGACAAAAATTCTTGGGGTATTTATAATTATTCACTTAAGTCAAGACCTATGGCAAAATTTATAATGTATGACGGCGAAGGTAATTATCAAAAGAAATTGAATCAAGGTACCTATTTTAAATAAAGTGAGAGCACTAAAATCATAAAGTTTAGATTGATATGACCTGGAAGAATGCAGATTTAGAAATGGGTAAAGATAAAGAAAGTGATTAATAATTAATTAAAGAGTCTTAAAGTTTAGTTTTACCAAGAATATATCATCATAAGGTAGATCTTTATAATAATCCTAGTAAGTTACTGATTTCAAACCTATTCAACCAATTCCAACTTAAGGTATAGTGATTTTTAATTTAGCTCACATTAATAGATATGGAAAATATAGCCAGAGATATCTCTTAAGATCAGATCCAATGAATTTAAGCGATAATAAATTAGATGATTACTTGCCCTCCTCATAGAAATATGGACGGTTTTATTTAAGTGAAGAACCTAAAGCAAAAACCATTGTTTCTGAGGCTCAACCTTATGAGGGATATCATCCAATCAGCCCGTAATATAATGTCTTTCCAGTTGAAAAGCCAATTTTAAAATATCATAGCATGAAATCATAATTGTTCAAATATAAATGATAAAACTTGACTTATAATTCAAGCATTTATATATTAATATTTATAGATTAAATATGATAAATGATTAAATTGTTGATGTTTTGATTCCATTAAAATTCAACTGAACAACTTACTACCTTCTATTACAGTTAATCTTAGAAGCAGTATCAAAGAGATTGGAAGAGGGATAATTTAATTTCTATGAATTTGGGTGAGTGCCTCATAAATTTCTATCTTCTAAAGATCTTTCTTAATTAGTTATGGGATATAGTATTCAATCTTTAAATTTAGTAATGAGGAAATATTAATATGAATTTAGTAATTTATTATTAAATAAAGTGAAAAATGTCTACTAATAACATAATATTATAGGTGAAACTTTACAGAAAATATATTAGGACGGGACAGGAGTAAAATTAGCTAGTGTGGATTATAGATTTATTAGTAACCAAAAATAAAAATGTTAAAGTTGAAGTTTAAGTTACATTATTCAGTTTGTTTATCATATAAAAAGAGAAAAACAAAGTTTGATAATTACAATATACTTTTTATTTATAGATATATTAAAATTTCAATAATCTTAACATACTATAAAATTTAAGAATAAATCATCATCTTAATATTGTAATTAATTTTAAGAGTAAAAAAAAATGTAATTCTACAATCTCACCTATTTAGTTCAATATTTTAAAACTTCTATAATTAAAAAAATTGAATAAAATCAAAACATATAATCTTTTAATCTGCACTTGTATTATTTATCTATATGTTAGTGTTTAAAGATGGCTATTAATTAAATGATTATGGAGATCTAAGACATTTGATATTGGTTTATCATTATTAGATTAAATAAGGTAAGACTTGTTCAAAGTTTTATAAAAGAATTGAGTGAAACAATTTCATTTAATTGTATATACATTATATTTATAGAATCATATCTTCATTCTTATTTAAATTGATGATTGATCCTTTAAATTAGGAATATCATTTAATGAAAAGAATTCTGGCATTACCTTTTCCTCAAAAATCAAGTCCTATTTACGTATTTTAAATTATATTACAAAGTCATTTCTTCCGCAATCTAATTATTCTGCAACACATTTTTTAGCCCATTCCACATCTTATCCTACTTTAAACTAACTTGTTATGAGAAAATATTGTTTACCTCCAAATCAAATTACTTATCTCCCAATTTAAAATTTAGCTAGATATTAGAAATGCTTTACTTTTATACTTTGTCCAGCAAATAATTCATTTTCTTATTCAAAAGTCATCACGTTAGAATTTTTTAAATTAAGATTGAACCCTTTAGACATTTTCTAATATTATTATTATAATATTAATTATACAATACTAATAATATGTATAATTTATGTTCATATATATCTACATTTTGTAAATCATTAAAATAGTTAAAGATATCTAATCAATAGATTATTATAGAAAATAATTTAGAACTTAACTTATAATAATGGAAAACCTCAAGAAAAAATCTAGAAATATTTTTCTATGATGTAATTGATATTCTTGGGGGAAGGAAAAATTATTTTATATTTTATAAGAAAGTTGTTTGAATTCTTTTCCATTAAATATGAATTGATGTTATGTAATGAGGTTACTAATAATGTTATTAAATTTTAATTTCCATCTTATAATATCAAAATCAATATCTGTGATGGTGATGGTGATGGCCTCCTTTGATAAGAAATGATTTATACCAAATATATTTACGTCATAAATTCCTCCATGATGATTATGATGAGTCAAATCTGACACTGCCATTCCTGTTAACATTCCTAGACCCATTGCTGCTCCAACTCCCATTCCTGGTCTTTAATTGTAGTAGTTGTTATAGCCTGAGTTGTAACCACCTCCATATGGATTAGTTTCTATTACCTCAACTATGGTTGTGGAGTTTTATTATGGGTATGGTTAATAAGTTGGCTAAAATAATGAAAATAGGTACATAAGGATATGGTTACTATCCTGGATAGCCTGTATATGGGGGAGTATATGTAGAAGGATAAGGAGTATATGGTTATTAACCTGGAGGAGGAGGAGGTGGGGCATAGCCTTATGGCATAGGAGGAGGAGGCACATAACCTTATTACATAGGAGGAGGTGGAGGTGGAGGCACATATCCTTATTAAATAGGAGGTTGAGGTGGATATTGTTGTTATTGTTGTTATTGTGGATAATTATTAGATGGATAAGGGTATTATGGAGGTGGTTACTGTTATACGGGTTATTATGGAGGAACTTGATTCATCTATTGATTTTAGTTGGTTCCTGAATTCTAGTAAGTATATGAAAAATAACTTACAAATTATTGCATTGCATATGGTGGTAATGGTACAACTCTAAATGCAATAAAATTTAACCATTTGTCGAAGGATCCTTTTGCAGCTGTGAAAGTATTTTATGGTGAAAAGTGTCTAAATGAGACCCCAATGGGATTTCCAAATGTTTCCTTATACCCTTTGTAAGTAACAAATCCTATGGAATTGATGACATTTTCAAAACACCCATTTATTTCAGATAAAAAATCGCCTATTTTAAAAACAATTATCTACCTTCTGGGACAATAAAAGTCTTAATATAAGCGGGAGTGTTCTTGAACTTGAGACTGGATTGACCAGATACCTTAATAAAATCTAATTAATACAAATTATCCATTTCCAGCTTTGTATGTAACATTGACTCCAATAACATGGGATTGGTTGAATTCGACATCAATTTTTGATATTATGTGAGGAAAAGGATATGCCCCTAAGACTTCTCCATCATCAAACTTTAGATAATTTGGGTTATCAACTCCAATATAGATCTCTTACATAAACTTTTATTTTTATAATATTCTAAGAAATTTGAAACAGGAGCATATTTAATTTTGAATTAATCAAAAGCCTGAATTCGATATCAATATGCAGACTAATGGAACGATAATAATAAAGAAATTCAGATTATATTGATTATATTTATTGCACTATATCAAGGTTTATTCTGGAGAAGCTTTGAATTTAGAATTAATTGATTTTTCAATATGCTTTAGGTCTATAATTCTTGAAGAAGTTTATAATAATTTTAGATTCGGGACTCAATTGGGTTCCCTATTATTTATAAGTGTATTACAATTAAGCTATTCTGTAAATTTTATAGTTATTAATAGAATTAATTAGTATTTTCCATAAGTAGATATTATGTTAAAAGGGTCATTAAGTAGAATATAAATATTTTTACTTGACTAATTAAAAAGTCCATCAATTCTATGATAATTAGTCCTTTAATAATGATATATTAAACAAAGAATTACTTTACAAAAAGACTTAATATTTTAATGTATCATATTAAGAATATAATAATGTCTAAAGAAATATCAAAGCTTTGAATTGATTTTATAGAAGTAAAACATATTTAAAAATTGAGAGGATCTTTAATTTAAATAAAAAGAGTGTATGTTAATGTTAAAAATTTAAATAGATGAATGACTGTAATTATATTAATAAATTCTCTCAATTTATCAACCAATACTTTCTACAACTACTTTCTGCGTCTACCGCTATTGAATTAATAAATTATTTTGTAGATTCGTTATGGCATCTGCCCATAATTAATGATGCTTGAGTTTAAATAAATAATTACATCCGTGATGTTGAAAGCTTATACTTAGCAAAATTTAATAAAATGTCCTACTAATTCTTGTTATTGCTATTTAAAGAATTATTGAGTTTGTGAAAAGATTTAGTTTGTGTAATATCCTACTAACATTTCCATTCCCATTTCTTATTTGGTTTCTTAATCACACATATTTTGGAATGCAAGCTTTTTATTTTATAACAATTCTTAGGGATTCAATTTAATATCTTTGCTTAGGTCCCATTTTGACACATCTCCTAATTAAAATAATCTTTCCTTTTTATAATGTAATTTAGACTTGAATTTTTCTAAATCTTATTAAATTACAGCTCTGGTTTCGTATATTTATTTAATGGATGAATTATAATGTTGTTAATATTTAAAGAAACTATTTAAATATTCTTCTGTTTATTCTATTTATTTTCCAATAATATTTCCCCATGTAATCATGGTATTATTCAAATTTAAGAAAGTAGCAGCTAAACCTTATGCTTATCCAGTTGGGAGTATAGAATTTAATTTGTTTAAATGTTAAAATAGCGATGCGAATATCTCTCCTACGCAATAGATCTTCAATGAATTTTATAATTAAATTTCCTTAAGACTCTTGCTTAAAACTCTAATTTTTTTATAGACTCCATCTATTTCATAGAAGTAATCCTAAGTTTGATGGGCATATTGATGTATTTCAATTGGAGCAACACAATTGACTTGGCCATCCTTTGAAAACATTCTTTGTACTGTTTATGGTGGAGCAGATTTAGTAATACTCTTGCGGATTAATAAATTTGTACTTCTTGGAATTTTTTGAATTCATTATTTTATGTTAAACTCAAAAAGTTCTTCACAATTACATTGCTTTTCAATTCATAGGATTTGAATATGCTATTCAGAAATCTCTGCAAAAATATCATCCTTTTATTAAGATAGGCGTCCTCAAATGACCTTGATCTCTTTTTATGAATAGGTGGAACAACAAAAGCTGGATAGAATTTCTGCAATGAGTCTCTTAGCCATTCAAAATCTGAATATCTTCTAAAAACAATCCAACCTTGAGGTTGTGTTTCAATCTAGAATACAATGTATGAAGAGGAAAAGAAACCGGCACTCTCTTTTTTGTATCTAAGAATAGGACATTGAATTACGTCAATATCTTAACAGACACATTATCACCTGATAATTCATTTGGTAAAATTTAATAGCAATTCACAAGGACAGGAGTATTACTTTATTAAATTATCTATTAATTTTATTATGGCTATTCTTATGGTTATGCTTATTAAAGATTGCCCTAATCTTCTGAATTATTGGGTTATTATTCTTCTGCTTATTTTTGAGATTCCTTAAATTACTCAATAGCCGACTCTAATTAGTTGATATATAGAATATACTCAATTCATCTAGACTCCAATTGTCGATATCATCACCACCTTCAGGTTTAAGAGAGACTAGAAATTAGGCACATTAATCAGCATCTAAACCTTTCTCGACTTGATCTTACAAATATTGTTCCTTAAGTGCTTTATCCCCTTCTTAATTTTATTACATATTGTTTAATATAAAAATAATTATATTATATGAAAATAATTTATCGCCTTATCTCTTACTGCTATTTATGGTTACCCAAAAAACTTTAAAAGACTCTTCAGAAAACTTTGTTTTAACAACAAGAAAATGAATAGATTTTTAAAGTATTGTACATAATTTAGAGTAGATTGAATTTTCGAATGGGGAAGTCTAGAAGCTTGTAAATTTTGAGATCTAAAATAATTAAATAAATCTAATCAGCGTAAAGATGATAGTATTTCTTTTAGGTTAATCTTATTTTAATGAAATTAGTTGATAAAATTCTGAGAACAGAGAATCTGATAATTTTGATTATTCTAATTATAGCCTTAGCTGGGAATACATATACCTAAGATTCAACAGGACAAATCATAGTTTTATTCACTTTAATTTGTTACTTATTGGATAAATTGCAATATTTAATTAATCTTTTGCTCATCAGTTATTAAAGATGGAAATAACAATCTAGTATCAACAACAATAAATGCCGCATTTTCCAAAAGTTTCCCAATATTTCAGATGAGGAAATCCAAAAGTTGGAAGACAACAATTAAGATTATATTGAGTACAAAAATATCAACTAAATAGATTTAAGTCTTATCTCTCAATAAAGTGGTGTGAATTACAAGTTGGATAGATAGTCTGTTTAAAACATGGAAAGCAAAGTCCTGCTGATCTTTTGATTCTCGATTCAAGTCAGGAATAAGTGCTTGCTGATTATGAATTGCGTGTTCCTTGTCCATGCACCTTTGTGAATGTGAATCACAATTCTAAAGGTAATATTATGGATTTCATAACTAAATTAAATGGCTCCATCTCTTTCTCTGTATAAGAAAGTATTACTGGAAGTATTAAGTTGAAAAACGATCCCAAAGCCACCTCTTTCAATAAGAAGAATATGATAATGAGGGGTGAAATTATGGACAGAGCGGATTGGATTTTTGGAATGGCTATAAGAGTTGGAGATGATTGCCGTTATGTATAAACAAATCTTAATAAGCGAAGCTTTTAATCATAAAGTTGGTTAAGAGATTTCCACACTTAAATCGTGTGTCTATGTGGAGTATTATTTTCAATATGTTTTATTCCTAATATCATATACTCATCTCTAACTCAACCTGATTACTTTTTTGATAGTTTGATTTATTGCTTATTGATCTTTCCATAAGCATTATTATTGGTAGAAAAGATATGGTATTTTTGTATATTATTGTATAACAATTAGTTATTTGAAAAACACTAAATTTAATAAGCATTAAAAGATTAAAAATAATCTGATTAGAAAATAAATACTGAATATAATCATGTAACCATTACATCTTAGAACGAAAGAAAGATATTGATGCCAATAAAAAAGAAATTCAGTCTGAATTTAATACCAGCATCAATTTAATTAAGACTCATGAAACATAATAGCAACAAATAAAATATAAGTGGCTTTTTGGCTTTAGCACCTCAAAACATTTTGGACCTAATTTAAACAGATATTATCGTCTTTGAAAATCCTTAACATTTATTCAAAGAATCACCAAAGGTTGTTTAATTGGTATAGAACTTTAAAAACTATCAATTTAATTATGATAAACTGAAAGATCTTGTAACTAAGGCTTCACCTTAACAGAAAACCAATTGCGATAAAATGTTGATAGACACTAATCGTTAATAAACATAGGATGAAATGAAAACCTTGGATATTGAAATGCTAATCCAAGAAAAAAGAGTACCTGATTTAAGAAGTTCATAAGAGTCATTTGTATCCACAAAATAAATAAAGAAATTATAATTTATGAGAAAAGACACTCTTTCTGATTTCAAGTAATAAGAACCAAAATTAGCTAATGGAATAGGAAAGAAAAAGAGCTCTAGATTCATTTTCGATTAGTCATTTGCTGCTAAATCTAATCACTAATAAAATACACATGATAGTAGTAAAGATATATCGAATAATAATAATGGTTCATAATCATTTCAATCTCCACCCATATTAAAATAAAAAAGCTAATTCATTCGACAAGGAACTTAATTTAAACATAATTCATCATCATTTTAAAATTCACAATCAAAGTTAAATGAAGCTAATTAAGATAGATTAATTGGTGATATCCTAAATGAACAAGATTTCATAGATGTACTATATAGTAAAGATGACACTATTCACAATGAGATTTTAATAATGATGCTAATTACAAATAGTGTTATGACTCTTTATAATGAAAAGTTACAGAAATTAGAATTCAATTTTGAAAATAAATATGATTAATCCATACTTTAATTTACTGAGCTATTTGATTATTGTCTGGTTTGTGCTACTGAAATTGAAAATTCAAGACCAGAATTCAACATGAAAACCATTATTAAAAAGGTAATCACAATTTCCAATATATCTAAAATATTTGATGTGTTGACATTCTTAGAACCAACTGAAAATAGAAAAAATATATTATCTGTGTTAGTGAGAGATCCAGAGTCTTTTTTATTAGATGAAGGAGCCTTACTATACTCACGTATTGAAACTAGCAATTATAATTAATAGGAAAATAAGTACAATGAATTTTTATCTGAAATGTCATGGGATGGACAAAAGACCTTTGTATACACAAAGAAACAATTAGATTAAACATAAACTGATGAATTCTTAAAGAAACTCTCTGCAATATATGAAACTTATGGCAATAGGTCCCATGAAATTGAAAAATTGTTTATTGAATTAGAGCAATAAAGTGAGCCTATGTTTTCCATTGGGATTAAATCACACAATTCAAATTGTTTAGTACTTTCTTCATAAGAATTAAATTATGATATTTTAGATTAAGATAAAATATTTTAGCATTTATACAACTTCAATTTGAAAACCTGTTTTGTCACATAATATAGTTATGATGAACTATTAATATTCTTAAGAAGTTTTTAAATAATACGTTCTAAAGAATAGATAGTAGAATTCAAAGAAAAAGATAAATAACAGTTGCAGTTCAAAGTCAAATAACATATTTAAGCCTTATTAGAAAATTAAAATGCTAATTAAAATGAAGAATAATTTATTATTGTTAGTTCTGAAGCCTTTAATACAATTATAAAAGACGATTATCTAAAATACCATTTTATATTTATTGTTTAATTCTCTTTTGGACTAGGAGCTTACCAATTAAATAGTGTCTAAAAAGGAAAACTAATAAAATTGCTGAAAATGGCTGATAAAAAGATATTGACTGTAGGGAACTCTTTAGATAATGGGTATATGTTTTCAAAATCAGATGTTTCAGTCAGTCTAATGAGAAGTAAATCATTAATATCTACTCTACACCCAAAATTTGTAACATCTAACATGAAATAGCTTTTTAGAATGTTGTTCATTTATTGTCCTACTCAGATGTTAAACTACTTGGCAATTATAGAAGTTTAACTCTATAGATGCACTTTGATAGGACTAACCATTTTTGCTGGTCATTTTGAATTAAACGACATTAATTTGTTTTACTTACTATTATTCTATCTAATACCAAGCAATCTATTGTCAAGTGTCTAATACTATTATTTGTTTGTTTTACATACTAAATAGTAATTGAAGAATGCAAATAATTATGCACGGTTGTTGTAGAATTTAAAAAATAAGATTTTACTAAAGTCAGCTTTAAAAATCATTCTAATAGCTATAATCGATTTTTTTATATTGATTTTAATCTAAAATTCTATATTAGATTTCGTATCTTTAAATGGTAAGGTTGATTAGACTTAGTAAATAATTTTGCTTTATTTAGCTTTGGAGATTTTGGAGAAATCTAAAATAATATTTTATATCTTCTCTCTCTCAACTCAGCTCCAACATAAAATAATACAAATATGCTCGAACATTGTAATGGTAACGATACTCATAATTATATTTAACATTATATAAACAATTGTAGATGATTAAATGATTATAGAAGAATTTGATCTTGAGAACTTTGTAGCATTCATTTTTATAGCTGTGTTTGTACTTGGTCTATCATACATTTTCTATGAGACCTTGTAAATTTTCTCAATTTAATTTGTGCTTCCATCCGACTTATACTCATTTGATTAGAATTACCAAGAGATAAAATCATTGAGGAACAATATCTCATCTTAAAATTCCCTTAGTGAATTTGAGGATGAAAAATTAAGAGTGTTCAATTAAAAATTAAAACAATTAACTGATTAATTATTTGATAATAAAGATATAATCGAAGAGTGCATTATTAAACAAATTAAAGGAGATTAGTCTCTAATAGATGAAATGGATAAACTCCATGGATTTTAAGATAAGAAAACAGAGTCATCTTTTCAAGACTTTTTTAGAGAACAAAATAATCATAGATTCAATATTGTTTATGCATTTATCTTTTATGATATCTGCATCATCATTATGCATTTTTATAAAATATTTACTGATGATATTTTTAAGTTCTCCATCCTCATAACTACTGTAATATAATTTGTTATCCAAATTTTTATTGCATTCTTATAATTCAGAGTTATAACTGATAAAAAGAACAAACAAAACTTACAAATTCTCTCATACATTCTAAGATTCCTATTTTAAATAATAATTGACATTCTCTATTTTGAGAGTGAGTAAACATTTGTAGGATTTATATTCAATTATTCATTCATATTGGCATTCGCAATGACAACCCAACCTAAAATACCTCTTTTATTATATGTAGTACTATAATTAATTAATTATGTGATAAATTTACTTTCTGATGGATTTACAATGACTTATTCAGATTATCACGTTCTAATATTTTGCATAGCTAAATATAGTTTACTTTTACTCGAAATATCTTATCCAGTCTTTTAAATGGTTCAAAAAACTCACTTTTTATAAAGATCCTTTTACATTTATTAGAACAGATTAAATTATGAGAAAAAGAAGATTAACAACATTCTTGGACTGTTAATGCCAAGATTCATATAGGAGAGAATGAATAAGGGCTAAATTCAAATATCTCAAGATTAAGGAGATGTGACTGTGCTGTTTTGTGATATCTATTAATTCGATAAGGTGATTAAATTTCAATAAGAGAACATTCTTGATTTTTTGGATACTCTCTATAGAGCATTTGATTAACTGTGTTAGACATATGATTTATAAAAGATTGAGACTGTAGGTAAAACTTATATGGCAGCTGGGGGTCTCAAAGATTATGATGCAGTTATAAGTATAATTATATTTTGATTAGATTAAAAAAATGCCAATAGCACCACAAGAGCATTAGAGACAGCTATCGCAATGATGGAAACAGTTAAGACAATGAAATATGGAGACAACTAAGATGTCAAACTCAAAATAGGAATTCATTATGGAAGAGTGATTGCTGGTGTGATAGGCTTTCATAAACCATAATTTTCATTGATAGGAGATACTGTTAATACTACTAGTAGAGTGTGCAGTACTAGTGATGCTGGTTTTATCACCTTAAGTGAATCAGCTTATAATCATATTAAAGATACTACGAAGCATTAATTTGAATAAAAATCAGTGGCTGCTAAAGGCAAAGGCACACTCGAAACTTTTAGGTTGAAAGTATGCACTAAAGAGAAGGAATCAAGCAAGAACATTACTCCAAAGGCTTGTTTAGATAAAAATGAGAAAAATTTTGAGCCAGATTGTAAAGTATAAATAATGCCACTGAAAAATTCAGATAATAGTAAAACACCCCTCAAAGGAGTAATGAAAAGAGCTTCTCTGATGAATTAAACAGGTATTACTAATGACGCAAAAACACCTTCAGTTTTATTCAAATAGATCTCGAGAGATATTAAAAACAAACAGTAACCTTTAGTCATAATCAAGAAAAAGTCATCTATCGAACATGATTGTAAGGATTTAGATTTAAAAAGATTGAATTCTTAAAAGTCAAAATCAGGATCTAATTTAGATGTAAAAATATTTGTTATTTTAGAATGATAATTAGTCATAAATTCATCAGAAGGCTAAAACTCCAGCCTTAATAAGTACCATGAGAAACAGTATAACAACTCACAAGAGATTAATTAGACAATCCGAAGATGGCACTAATAATAATAATACTGGAACTTTATAACAAATTTCAATGACTCACTTTTCACAAATTGATATGAAAACTCAACCCTAATTAATTTAAAGTCATATCCAAACCAATTAAAGTCCTAATAACATTTAGTAACCAATAATCAACTCATTTTAATAAGGGTCTTAAAATTAGTTACTTTTAATAGCTGAGCATCCAAGCAAAGAGAGTTTATAGCAAGAGAAGAATGAAGATGAAGTTTAAATTCCTTAATAACAAGTCCAACAATAGACTCAAAGGACCTAATTGAAAAAGAAAGGAACTATAATTATGGTAGACTTAGTACAATAAAAGAAAAGTTGTTTAATGAAATCAAATACAAGAATAATGATTCCTGAAGAAAAGGATAAAGATAGGGTAGTTAAAATAGCTTAAATTGATAATGATTAATAAGCTGAATAAGTGGGAAGAAGACAAATCATCAAATAAAAATCAATTAAGCCTATTTAATAGGAGCCATCAGATTCTGCAATTAAGAAGTACGATAGCATCTTGGAAAAATTTGAGGAATTAGAGGTAAATAAAAGATAGGGCATTTCTATGCTTTAGAAGAAACTAGATCTCATGAAATTGAAGAATATCAAAAAATTCAAATTAGATTTTGATAAGGATTATGATTCAGAATAAATTAAAAGCTATTATGATAGTAAGGATCAAATATCATACTATTAAATTTACGAAGAATACAAAGATCAAGAGTTGATTAAATTTAGATCCACATTTTCATTCTTGTTAGTATTAATGATTTTTAAAAGTCTGTTATACTTTTTATTAGACAACTTAAGTTCAAAAACTCAGATAGAACTATTAATCACAGTATTGTGTTAAATTTCAATAAGCTTGGGGTTGGCAATCCCAATCTATAAGTATAGGGAATAATCAGACCTTTTAAAAATAAAGACTTTTGGATTTATATATTTCATAACAACAAATCTCTTGAATCTTCTTTTGATTTCATTTAGTGAAGCAACACAATACCAAGTTATTCTACAAACTTGTTAGATAACATCGATTTATGTTAATTTATTCTACTTATAAATGTTAATAGTGTAAGACAAATATAAATTATTGATAACCTACATTATTCTAATAGTTTTGGTCACAGTGTATGAATAATTTATTCTGGAAATACTATTTTTTGGACTTAGCATAATTGGAATTACTTTCTATTCTTAACATTAAATTAATTAAATTTTAGTCAAAAATTATAAGGTAAGTTAATAATTATAAATATAAATTGCAAAGTATGAAAATATGTTGTAATATTTGATGCCCCCACATGCATTAAAACGGTTATTATAACCGGATTAAGACAATACAGAGACCTTTATTGATGTATTAGAGAATGCTACAGTGTTGTTTGCAGATATTGCAGGATTTACTAAATATTCTAGTTCTGTGGAACCAGAAACAGTTGTAGAAATGCTTAGAAACTTATTTTAAACATTTGACGAATTTTGTTAAATGACTTAGGTGTATAAATTATTCACAATAGGAGACTGTTACGTTTGTATGGGAGTTATGGATTTGAATTAAAGAGATCCAGCTGAAGAAGTATATTATTAATCTAATTTAAGGCTTAAAATGTATTGGTTTTCGGATTGAAAATGATTTAGATTATCAATGATTGCAATAAAGATCCCCAATATTAACATCTTAATATGAGAATTGGAGTGCATACAGGTAAAGTCCTTGGGGGAGTTGTTGGTACAGATGTTGTTAGATATGATATCTATGGTGAAGATGTGACTATTGCTAACCTTATGGAATCGTCAGGCTCTGTATTTATAATGTTTCTATTGTTTTTAGGAAGGCAAAATGTTAGTAAGTGAACATACAAAAAATTTAGTTGAGAGTGTTTATGAAGATTTCAAATTTGAATACGCTAAGGATGTTTATATTCCTTCTAAAGATATTACATTACCTACTTTCTTTGTACAACTCAATGATTTAGTGTTTAGTTAGGAAGAATGAATTTATTATTTTTTTACATAATATTTATTTTATTAATGAGTCAAAACCAAGAGAAGCTAGAGTCCGAATTATTTTAGTAATACTAATAGGCCATTGACCTTCTGGAAAATGGGAATGAAGCAAAAGGGATACAAATTTTGAAGGATTTAATGCAGAATCAATCCATTATTAATCAAGATGATAAAAAGATTTTATATGGAATCTATATGTCATTAGCTGAAATCTAAGCTTAAAGTGATTGCGTCGAGAATAAATGCGAAGCTTTATATTATTATTACCAAAGTACATTAATCTCAGATAATTGCTGGCAAACCCAAAGAAAAATGGCTTTAATATTTAGGCAATTAGGAATGATGCCTAGAGCCTTAAATGTTATATTGAAAGCGTATTAATTCAATTAGATTTATATAGACTACAATTATGCAATTCACCTAATCTCATCTAGGCCATACTCTATCAAGTCTGTTCTATTTGTTTTTTAATGGATGATTAAAAATAATTCCAAATATATTTTGATAAAATGAATGATAATAATAATCTCAAGCTCAAAATTGCAGAATTGAACAAATACTTTATTGATAAAAATAATATTACTGATTTTGTTAATGAGCTTTTGAAAGAGCAATCTTAAATTCAATAACAATTAGAAAAGATTCCCTTTGAATCAAATTAGAAGTTAAAATATTTTAATTAAACATTCTAGTTTGAAATTAAATTAGATACTTATGATTTAAAGAAATTCTTTAAAAAAATCTAGAATATTTTATAAATAAATGTCAATTTTGAACCGAAAAAGTTTGATTTTATTTAGAATGAGAAATGCTTTATGTCTAATACTAAAATAATAGTGATTTCTAAAGATCAACAATAAAACTCCAAAGATGTTTCCAAGGAATTGCCAAAGGAAAGTCAGCCAGTTAAATAATCGGAAAGATAAAAGTCAAAAAAATCTAAATAACAATAAGATTAATAATTTGTGCTAGATTAAATAATTCAATCCAATCACAATAAATTAATAGAATTAATAAAATAGTTTGATGGAAATGAAATATTCTAACTTAATAACAATAATAATAAAATTTCAAGTGAATAAAATGAAAAATAAGAGTGTCCTGTGGCTAAATTTTTATTGGAGCAATTAAATAACAAATAATTCTTAACCATAATTGAATTACTACAAAACCTTATAACATTAATTTGTTAAGACTACTAAACAAATGAGAATATAACCTAATAATAGGATATGTAGAGTGAACAATAAAAAAGTCCCTAAAGTAAAAATTCTAATGGTTCTTCATACCACGAAGCTCTAAGAGGTTTAATAAATTGTATTGTATGGGCCTAATACTCAACAAATAAATTTACTGATAATCCTAAAATTAAATTAAGATTATTGGAAATTGCATATGAGGAATTAACATTGAGATTTAAAGAAAAGAAACCAAAATCTCCAGAGCAACAAAACAAAATTAAAAATTTTATTACATTTATTAATAATATGAAATTAGAACTTTTACAAACAAATATCACTTAAATAATAACTGATCAAGCAGAAATCTAAGCATATTTATCAAATTATTACAGAGTGATGGCTTATATACATAGTGATATCAATTTTTTTTAAGGAAGAATTGCAAAATTGTGTGTATTAGAATTAAATAACCCAGAAATAACTTAAGAAATTAAAGATAAGATAAAATCAGCATAATTTTAAATTTCTTCTAGCTCTCCACATTAATCCTAGTAAATTTAATAAATTCTTACTTAATGGGAATAAAAAGAATAGAAATTAGAAGATAATGAAAAAATTAGAACTTAAATCAATTATGTGTATGACTATCTATAATAGAATTAAAGTTATGATCTAGTCAAAAGATTAGCTATAATCTGTCTTAATTAATTTTATTTTGTACAATAAAAAGAAGAACTTAAAGTAATTTATAAATTTGTACAACCATTAATTTAGTAATTTTTGAATATCAATTAACCAGATCTTTTAATTGGCTTTATTTTCTTGAAATTTTCGATAATTTACTCTTTAATGGAATTTGATTCAAGTGAGTTTTTGGCTAAGTTTATCGAAATATTCCTAACTCAAACAAACGGTTACAATAAACATCTAATTTTGATGGAAATTCTAAGATTTCATCATCTTAATATAAACAAACTCTTCACGTATGTAAATATAGATCTCATCCTGTAAGAATTTATTAAATCAAAAATACAAATGAAAGATAGATATAATCAATTGATTGATTAATATAAAAACAATGTTTAAAATGATTTAGAGCTACGTTACTATTTGATTCATTTGTTAGATTTAAAAGATCAACACACTCCTTAATTTATAGTCCAATAAAATGAGTTGTAAATAGAAATTGAAAAATTTGAAACAAAATACCCTTAGCCCGAATCATTTTCAAGTGCTTCTGAGGATGAAGTAGAATCGGATGACATATTCTAGAAATCTTACTAAAACCTACAATTAACAAAAGAACAAACAGAAAATGCCTTCAAGATAGGGAAGTAGAATTATTAGTTCCCCCCTAAATCAGTAGAATTCTTGTAAAACCATACTATTAAAATCAATATGGGAGACCCAAAAATTATTGAACATATAAAGAGATTTGCTAAAGAAAGAATTAGAGCTGAATTCGGATTAAGTACTAAAGAATTAAGCAAAAACTTTTAGTACATATTTTTAAAAAGTTATTATCTATCGTAAGAATTTACAAGAGACTTGTCTGAGATTGAGCTTCAGTTCATGGGATATTTTTTAACTCACTTTTCAAAGTTATTTTAAGATTAGAGATAATTAAATCAATTTATTATTGATGTGATTAAAAAATCTCTGCAAAAGTATAATGATACTAAAATTTAAGAATTTGCTGAATGGTTATATTCATCAATATTTACTAAACAGAAATAAAAAATTTAATCTATTAAAGAATTTCAAGAATGTATTCATCAAAATAATTTGTAATGTGATTACAAATCTAACTTATATTATCAAATTCAAAAATCAGAAGAACTGAATATTAATGAAAATCAACAGAAGATTGATTTTAAAAATATTTGTTATGCTTTAGCTTATAAAGAATCACCATTTTTATGGAATTACTTGTATTAAGGTACTTTTGAATAAGCCCAAAAGTAATTTAAGTAGAAGGCTTAAACCGAAATTGATTGGTTTTTAAGCTAGAAAAAGATTTAGGCACTGGTAAACAAGAATCCTCAATTAAATCACTTAAATGAATATAGATATATTATGGATCTTATCAAATTAATGCAAAGGTAAGTTGAATATTAACAGTCGAGTAATGAATAGTTGTATAAAAAGACAGAATAAGGATATTAGGCACTTTATCAGAAATAATTCAATGTGCCAAAAGATGCTTTTGAAATTGAAAACAATTTCAGGGTCTTGTAACTTTATGAAAAAAAAGTAATGAGAAAATATAGGAATATTCCAATAGAAAGAATTAGTTAAAATTTAGATAATATTTGCAGTCTTGTTGATTTAATAAAGTAAATGAAAGAATATGAAATTGAATATTTTTATCAATCCAATGATGGTGAGCAAGAAATGAAGTAGGATCTATATATAAACATTTATAAATTTATCAGAAGATTTTTAAGGCACAAACTTTACAACCAATTAAATCAATTAGTTTAAATCATTAAAGATAAGTTTTCTTATTTATTAAATTAAAATCAGAGTGATCTATAATTTTAATTTTAATATGACAATAGAAAATTCAAAATATCGAATTTTACTTAAGAATAACTTGACTAGGAGGAGAACACTGAATACAATACAGAGGAAGTTAATTTAATATTGAATAACCTTTTAACAATATTCATAGAGAATACACAAAAATTGGTAAGAAAAAAAGCTTAAAGGTATGTTATAGAATCATTCTATTATGCAACTCATTTAAAATTTAACAGTTAAATTCCTATAGATTAAGTGTTTGCATAAATATCTTCTATTTATCAACCAAACAGTAGAGATCTTGTGTATTATTACTTATAAATTGATAAATACAAATGTGAAAAAGATGAAGTACTAAGCCATTACTATTCATAAGATCTCATCTTTAATTATTAAAAGTCTAAAATAATCAAATTAATAATCAAAATTTTGTTAAAAATGCAAAAATTCAAGGATATTTATTAACTTTTTGAAAAACTGCATAAAACTTACGATATTCGATTATATCAGGCCTGCATAGGATTGTTAGAGGAATATAAAAGGATTGATGATAAAATCTTAATTAGAGACATAATATTGAAATCTGAATCTTATAGAAGAACTATTGAGCTATTTAAATAGGATTCTATAGTACCATTATTAAATAATATGTACATAAGATTGTATGAGAAAGATCAACAAGAATAAAATGAAGGCGATTTCATAAATGAAACCTCAGATACTAAATTGGAAAAAGGAAAGAAAATTGTTGAAGATTATAGGGCTACTAAAAGAAAACCTGCTAAGCCAAAAGATCCATAGTAATAAACTTAAACTTCTTAGGCACAAGTTCAACCATAGCAAGCATAATTAATTTAATAAGTAGTAGATGATGTTGAATAGTATATTAATTAAGGAGCAATGATACAGAGTTTCAACGATTTTGATAATATGTGAAATAATATCATTATTTAATTCTTGATTGTAACACAGATGACATGATAACATAGATTTTTTTTACTTTTTTCTTGGCAAATTTTTGTAATCTTGATATTCTAATTTCTTAATCTGACATAAATGATTGCTTTTTATAAGTAATTTTATTCAATTCACTAATTTCTTAAGTGATAAATTAAGTAAATGTTTCAGTAATAAAACCTTTTCTATTTACTCCATCTTCTTCCAGACCATCTGCTAGAATAGTATTATATTTCAGTGTGAGGATAAGCCTCATAAATTTAAATACATATTCTAGAGGATTAACAAATTGAATTTAATTTTTTGGTATTAATTATTTTATTATTCT